TGTTTTTTTTTGTTTTTTTTATTTTTTTTTTTTTTTTTTTTTTTTTTTTTTTTTTTTTTAGCGCCTGGAACTAGGGAGAGCCAGCGCCGTGTGACCGCGGTGCTCGCGGTATGCCATGGGCTCAGCCACCTTGCAGACACCCTGAGTCCTTGAAAGATAAAGGAAGGAGGCACCGGTTGCATGGGAGAACAGTGAGTCATGGGGCTTTGCTCCGGGGAACCACAGAAGTCCTCTCAGTGAGCTGCATGAACTTCAGGAGCAGGAATATAACTTTATCCCTAAGCTGCATCTTAAAAAGATCTACAGCCGAGCCTTTCCAGGGCCTCTACGTGATCCTCTTTGAGTGTTTGCTGACATAACTGCCTTCTCTTCTCCTCTTAAACCTCTTGCGAACTGAACGCTTTAATCTGTAAGCTTTCTAATAGATTTATAGTGATGACTCTAACTAAACGGTTACTAGGCTTTTGCGTAAAAACAGAAAAACAATGCCTGGAGTGGCTGGTTGTGTGGGCATGTATAATATATAATATATAATTTTATACATATATTATATAATATGCACACACACACATTATTATTATATATATAATTTTGTATTATATATAATATATATAATGTATAATATATAAAAATATATAATTATGGCACATGATCTATAATATATAATTGAAGTGTATGATGTGTATGTGTCTGTGTGTATGTATATGTATAAATGCTTGTGTATATATAAGTACATATATTTTTACCAAGATGAGGAGAACAAGCTTTGATGGAAGAAAAAAAAAATATTAGGAAAAAAAATTCATTTGTGGATCGATTTGCTTACACAGGCTAAGAAAGGAAGGCAGATCATAACAAAACAAGTCTCCATCAAAACAGCTGCTTACGGCATTGTCGGATAAATCATTAACACAAGGTCCCAGTGCTAGCAAAGACTGTTCGGGAAAAGTCACTCCCCTGAAACTCCCTTTTTCCAGGAGGTAAGGAGCTAAGTTATTTACGGACTTTCTTTTAGTGAGTGGGCATTTGCTGCCGGCATGATTTTTCCACTGGTCGATAAAGTGATGTAGTCCGGTGGATTTAAGCCGAAGAGAGAACCTCCTCCCCTCTCACCGTATCCAAAGGATAAAGCACTTCCTAAGAGAGTGTCTCAAATACTAGGGGAGGAGGAAGAGGAGAGAGAAATATAGCATGCCAGACTTCTCTCGGTTGGCTTAGCTCGTGCATTGCCTGTCATGCTGGAGGAACGGTAGGTGGAAAATGCTTTTACTTCCCACGAGCAAGAAAAGTTTGCTCTAAAGCCACTTGGTGGTGGGGTGGTGGAAATCAGTGCTTCTGGCCCCCTTTGTTGAATTAACTTGAGGCCGAGCAAAGCTTCAAAAAAACACTGTCTAAGATGTGTAGGTGCGTATCCACAAGCAAATAAGGCTGACGTGCTGTTCTGGGCTGTTGCTGTTGGGTGTAGTAAGGAACAAGTTCTTACAGCTGGCTGGCTGAACTGTGTTGGGAAGGGGTGGTTGTGCTGTCGTGTTTGTCTCCCCTGGCAACAGGAGTAGCATGGTGATTGATAAATCTCATCAGCTTATGCCACAGAGGCATTACTCAGCTTCCTGTAAATACTGTAACTCATTCATGAAGCTTGATTTTTAAAGGTATTTATGTTTTGTTTTTTTTTATCAGAGGCTTTGTTTTCTGGAATCCAGTAGGACTGGGAGTCCAGCTTGTTAGTTTGAGCTGTGCTTTATATGGAGAATGGCAAAAGTAGCTTCCTTTCTGATGTTCACAGCAGTTGTTTAAATGAGAGAAAAAGGGCCTAGAACAAGGACTTAAGCTATCTAGTTGCCTAAGTCCAGGAGCATGGCTCTGAATGTCCAGCTAAACCCTAAGACTCGCCAAATCAATGAGGCAATTCAATTAATTAATTAAAAAAAAAAAAGCCTCAAGAGCCTCAAAAGCTTGCTTCATATTGTTGCACATGGCTGGACACCTTGCACAGCCCAAGCTCTACATCCTATGTTTTCTTCAGTCTGAGAAGATTCAAAACTGCTTTTGCTGCTCAGGGAAGTGCATGTTATGTCTAATATTAAGTGCATCAACCACTTCTCAGAGAAGGGACTGGATTTGAGCCTTTCCCTGGAAGATGCGGGTTGTAGCAGTTTATGTCAAAGGAGATTTCTGAATTGAGAGTATCTGAGTGAGCGCCCTCAACTGCCATATCAAATAGTAAGGTTGCTTTGCAGAAGAAAAGGATGGTCCCCACTTCGCTTCAAGCTCTGAATCTTTGCTCGAGTTAGCCCATGGCTGTAGGTGGGACCTGCAGCCCTTCGTACCACTTCTCTTTTGAGTAATTCTCCCTTGGGTTAGCATGGACAGGTTCCCGCTTAGCCAGGTGTGGCCTATCTTCTAACTCGAGGTTGGGGAACCCAATGCAAGTTGCCTCCAGCAGAACAAGAAGCCTTTGATTTCTCCTTTCCCCTGTGTTCACCTGTTCCCCTGCCAAGTGAATCCCTAGCACCTCTGAATTAATAGCTGAGCTTCTCTCTTTTGACATTTTAGGGACAGGAGGTGCTGATTGGGACTTCATCCAGCTTACATGAGCCGCAGTGGGAGGACAAGGGGACGACAGTCCTTTTGATAACCAGGTAGCGTTCAGTAAGAGCCACCTCAGCCATGAGACATAAGGGACAGGAAAAAGGAAGGCAGCCAATTTCCCGCTCAGCTCTCCTGAGACGTGCGTTCGGGTAGCGTTTGAGAGCCTATCTGCTGCCGCTTGTGCATTTGCCACAGGCCTGGAGATGACTTTGGCCAGGAAAATTGGCCTGATGGAGTTCTCGGTTGTCTCCAGCTGTTCCCTGCAGCTGTCTGCCTGACAAAAACCGGGGCGGGGGAGAATGACTCGAGTTAAAAATAGAAATAAAAGATTAGGAAACTCGAGGTATGGTTTCAACATAGAGCTCAGCTGCTCTCACACCTCGCTGCTGCCACCGAAAGGGGAAGGACTTGCTTATGCTTGCAGTGAGCTGATTCAGCCGGCTAAGCCCAGCAGCAGACTCATCCAGGGAGAGGGGTTAGTTTTCCCCCAGGCACTCAGACAAGCCCAAGAGAGGAGATGGGGATACAAGCCAGGAGACAGGGAGATCAGGGTGCCCCTGATAAAAGGGTTATTTAACTCTGCTTGAACAGGTAACCTGAGTCCAGGAGCTGAATGCAGGTTAGCAGCTCAGATGCTTTGCATTAACATCAGCTGTCCTGCATGCTGGGCTCAGGTTTAAAATCAGAGCTGGGCCATGCATGCTCCAGTTTTAGCTGGGGCTAGCTGATTCAGGTTAGTCAACCCAACTTAAAAAATATATATATTTTAAGTGATTCTGAAACAAAGTTATATTGGTAGAAAATATTTTCTTCCGACGTCCCTTTTCTCTCAGGTGCTCTAAGGAGAAGGTTCACTTTGCTGTTTGAAGAATTCACATTCTGATAGTTTATGGAGAGGGCTTATATGGGTGGTTGAAAAATCATGTAAAAAGTATTGGGGCCTTAATTTCATTTGCTAAATCTAAGTGTCTTGCTTGGTTATTATATACGCATCTAAAAGACTTTATTTTGCAGTATGCGTGTGAACTCTAAGAAGGTAGTCATTAGGCGATCCAAGGGTAAATGCATCATGTGCATTGGAAACTACATGCTTTTGAAGCATTGCTTTCAGGAAGTGGCCATTATAGAGTGAAGAGCGGCCAGCAGCTCTTCACCCTGTGTTTATCACTAGTCCCTCCCATTATCATTAGTCCTTGTAAGTTTGTCTGAATACATTCTTCTGTTGCCTCTCTTAAAATGAGGCCAAAAGCCAGATAAGAAAATTGTAATTTTTTTTGTTGAACAGTTTGTTTTCTGACGCTTATTTGTTTGTTTGCTAGTAGTCTTGGTAGTCTTTGTTTGCTAGTAGTCTTTAGACTTAAAAGTGTGATTTCTCAAGCTGCAAATGAGTTCCTGTTGTCGTAGCACTTCCAGCCACATTTCAATATCCAATTAAATGCCCTGTTAAGTGACAGACTTATATTCAGGGGCAATTCCAGATATCATACAGGAAGCTGGATCCTAAGAATCAGTAGGTGTGCTGTACTCCCTATGCGAGACATAGAGGGAAAACAGCATTTAGTTCAAGATAACTATATAATGTTTAATTATGTAATGTTTAGCTTAAAAAAAACTATAAGGCAACGGTTTCCCTTGGCAGATGATTTGAAGACAAACATGATTTCTTTTGTTCAAGCGGCCTTTTATGTGTGGCAGTAAATATAAGCTTATCTAGAGCTAGGTGGAATTCTTTATCAAGTCAGTTTTTGCCTCTTCGCTTGTGCACGCAAATTGGAAGTCCTCTGTGTTTAAAAGTAAATTTAAGAGTTAAAGTTATTCTTTCAGCTGCTGGACAAGCATCGTGAAGGCAAGCAGCTAGTTTTCTTACCAGTTAAGTTTCAAAATGCTTTAAGAGGCATTCTCAGTGGGTTACAAGGCCGTGCTTGTTAACCAAGACTAGAAGTGCTTTGGATCCTTTGATACATACAATTACATTTTCTTGTAAATTAAAAAGATCCGTTTGTCCTTACTGAACCTCTAGCAGTGAAGCAGATTTTTCATTTGTAAGAAAGTTAGTATTGTTAGACTTAGACTTTGCATTTTAATTTAAACATTAACTAACTGAGTTAAACCCAGTTTTCTTATGCTGAGGAAGCTGATGCCTTGGGATTGGTGGGTATTAAACATCCAGGATGGGGAAGATTTGCTGGGAAGACCAGCTTAGTTTCAATTTCTTAGTCTTGCTAGCCTTCTGGGTTTTGTTTCCTTACTGATTCTGTTTTTGTGTTTTGAAATTTTCTCTTCTAAGCCCAATCACATGCTTTTCTTTGGGGGCAGCGGTTCTAAACTAGTCACAGCATACCTAAATCCACAGGAAAATCCTGGCATTGTTCAGCCCTCTGCATGCATTTGTTTAGTTAGAAAAATAAGGTCAGATTTAAGCAAGCTCAAAGAAGTTTTACTTTGGATTAGTACATTTACAGAGAGGTAACAGAAAACTGCTATAGATAGTGAGAGTATCTCCGGTCCTGTTAGACACTGAACCTATGAAGAGCAAATAACGTATCATAAATACAAATGAGAAATGAAAGAACCCTTACAGTTTGATTGGAGCAAGTTTCTTTGTCTTCACCGTTCTCCTTGCAGTTTCATGAAACGTAAGCAGTTTGCCTTTCATGAAACGTAAGCAGTTTGCCAGAGACTGTATTTTAGAAGAATGAAAAAGCTCTTCTAGGATGCTGGAATAATGCAGTGTAAAACACTTTGTCCCTGCTTGGATAAATAAACCTCTCTCAAACCTTATATGTATTTTTAAATGATAAAAATCTCTTCCCCGTATAGTAAAATTTTAACTGTTTAGCACAGGAACTACTGGCAAACACTTTCCATGGATACGATGGCCTATTTTCTTCAGTTTAAGAAGGAAAGGAGGGAAAAGGGTTGATGCAATAATTCAGGGTCCCTTAAACTAAGAGCACAAGGTTACTGAATTAGATTTGTATGGGAGAAAAGCAACACAGGCTTGGACTTTTGTTAATGTTTAATGTTCTGTAACGGTCTTCACAGGAATAATTGAGCCATCAGCGCAGTAGTGATCCCATCAGCGGAGTTTATTTTGCGTGGTTACAGAGTCCGCTGTGGCTTTCATTTCAGTGTAGCCTGCGCTAATTGATGAACAGGGCCATAATTTATTTACAGTCCTCAAGATCCTTTCAGGTTGGTTCTCCTCTTTTTAAAAACATTTGAAAGGGGAGAAAGGAGGAGAAGGTTTGTGGGGCTCATTGAGAAATTTTGCGCTGCATTGCAAACTGCAGTTGTCTAAAATACTATTTTTTTCTTTCTTTTTTCGTGATTTTTTGCGCTGGCCTAGTTTTAGCAGCCTCCCCGTTTTGTTAGAAGTCAGTTGACCTTTAATCTGCAGCGTGTGCCGCTCGGTCGAGGAAGGTCTGACATACCGCAGTGAAATGATCTGCAGAGGGTGGGGGAAAGGAGGAAGGAAATAGGGACTGGATGCTACCGCTGATTAGATGAGAGAGAAGAAATAAAAAGAGCTAGAAAGGGGGAGGGGGAGACACCTACACTTGTTCTCTAGGTTTCAGATTAGGCTGAATAATGTTTTTTTTTTTCCCTGATTTTGTTAGATTCCAGAATAATCCGGTTTGTCTGCAATAGCTGCAGTGGGTAACTATTGAGCATTATAGTCCTGTATGGAGGGAGAGAGTAATGGGGGCACCTTAAAGGCGTGAGAATTTTTGTCCTGGAGACTTCTTACGCCCTGTCCGACCCTTGAGAAGTCACTTGTACAGCTAAGCGCTGTCTCCATCCTGAACTCATTTATCCGGCTGCAAGTTAACGCCAACCTCAAATCCAGGAGTCTGCTCAGAATTGCAAAGTGCGAAAAAGGTAATCGGCAAATATTTTAAAACACATCCTAATTTTGAAGATTAAAGGCTGTTTCAAGAGCGCAGCGTTTTCAAGCAGATACACAGTTAGCTTTCACGGCTGAACTTTGATGCACCAGCCGCCGCTGTTTTGAAAGCTGCTGTATGAACCAAATACTCAAAGCTGCTCTTTGAACCAAATTTTGCAAATGCAAGGAAGGAAAGAAGTTGTGCGTTGTAAACGCGAGTACTACAACAATACTATTTGTCAGTCGGCCGCCTGGAATTAAAAAATAAATAAATAGGTAAGAGAGAGAGATCGTCCATGTGTAGCTTTTGCCCTTTTCCCCAGGAAAATTGGCCAAAATGATACATGTAGACAGGAGTAACTGCTAACGCCTGAAAGTAAGACGTTGTATTCCAGCTCACGCGCGTGCCAAAGTACTGGAAAACAGATGAAGCAGACCAGTTTCAATTGGACAGTTGATACTGCTTTCATCTCTTCAAGCAGCCTTGCAGAGGTATCTGAAGGAAGGATTATTCCAGCCATTATGGCTTAATTATCAGACAGGTACATGTGCTGCCTGTCCCACGAGAAGTCTTATATTTGGTGGAGAGGTGGAATAAATCAACTGAAACTTGACTTGAGGTTCGCTTTGCCTTTCACCCATTTGGCCTGACTAGAGGAGGTGTGGAGCAAAAAGATTTTTGCAGTTTTTTTAGGCAGAGGGGAGATGATTGCGAATATAAATGCAAAAGTTGTTAATATAAAACTTTGTTGCCTGCTAAGTGACTCTGAAGTGTGTGCCCTCCATTAGGGGACATAAGTCCCATTTTAGTGAATTATTTATGCTGGTTCTACAATAACAGGGCCTGTTGCTTATGAAAGTGTCTGAATTTATATTTTACATCTCTGCCTGGCCTACGTGTTTTATTTAAAAAAAAGAGTGCAAGAAAGATGGTTACTTGGCAAAAATTGGCTTTTAGTAAGCTAGTCAAAATACAAGTTTACTTATTTGGGCTGGTGCTGTTTGCATAACGCTCTCCTCCATGGGAGCCGTGCCTCTCTTTTCCAGGATCTTCTGACAGTTTCTAAACATTCGTCCCTCCTTGTTACTCATCCAAAAAAGCAAGGAGAGCTTTCAGCGCTGCTGTTCACAACCTGTCTCCTACAGATCGCTTTGTGGCCT